AGGGAAAAGAAGCCATAATCCACGTGCTCTGTTTCTAGGAAAATGACAGTTCTAAAATATATTTATTGTCACCTTAGGATGCTATAACTGTGTTGTTTCCTGTTCGCAACAGGTATAAAAGATTACATTTGAAAATTAGAATGTATTGCGATTCCTCCCCATCCACAAATGCTTTTTGTAGCCTATACAGATTATCTTCTCCTTACCTAAAACATTTCTGATTGAATTTATGCAAATTTCAAGACATTTCTCAAGAATGCTTTGAGGATAATCGTTATGGAACCATGAGTGATAAAGCTTAAAAAGTGCCAAACAATTAGTCAGAAAACTAGAAAGCTAAGGATTAGTTATCAGTTTGTGTGTTCTCTGCAAAAAGTGAGCAGACTGCATAAGCATCTTCTTAAGATTCTGAGGAAATTATATCCCGAAGAGTCTTTAGTGATAAAGAAATTGAAAACTAGATATTCATGACCATGCAAATGTGATATTGCACAGTGCAGCTGCTAATGACCTAGGTTCTATGTTAAAGACAAGCTCATGCTAGAATTCTGCCTATGATCCTTGCTGATGGAGTGGCCTTGGGCACTGAACTATCCCAAGCCTCTGGTCTCTGTGTGTATGTGTATTTTTGTGTTTATGTCAGTGCTCTACTTTGAAAATGGATGTGAAATATCTTCCCTGTAGAATTTTCTTCAAGTATTGAATAAGTTAATTTAATCTCATTCAATACATGAAAGTATCTAATGCTTGTAGAACACAAAAAGCATCCAACAAGTCTTACATTATCGCTACTAATACAAGATGCAAATTATCTTACATAATGTACCATTTTATTGTGAAGGGCTAAAATAAAATTTCTGAGTGATGTCAACCCGTATGACCTTGATCTTCCAGTTTAATGTTACCTCTGTGTATTTCTTTCCGTAATCACAGACTTCCCACTGAGAACTTTAAGAAACAGATACATGAGGATGTATACAGTGGAATGAAACCTTAAAAACATGTGATTTGCTTGTTCTTACTTTAATCCCTGTTCACTGGGCTTTGGTGACATAATTTTCCTGGCTAGATTTGCATCCCAAGACATTCTTCCTCCTTCTTTCTCTACACTTACCTTTCTCTATTCATTCACTAAATATTGGCAATTCACAGATGCTTGATCTTGCTCCTTTACTCCAATTTCTTATAAATGCACCGCCATGCTGGGCATCTCTAGCTGAATATTCCATTAGCACTTCACACTCCATAACCCACAAGTGACCCTTCATTCCTCGCCCTCCAACATCTCTCTTATTGTCCACTCACTCAGGGGTTAGAAGCTCGACCCAGATCAGAAGTCCAGGAGACATCTTTATCTAATTCTCTCCTTCACCTCCCATATCTAATCAGCCAGAAAGTCCCATCAATATAGCCCTCTGTATATTTCTAAAATTTACCCCACCTCATGATTCTGACTTTAATTACCTGGAATTAGTATATTTGCCCCCTAACTAGTCTTCCAAGCATCATTCTTTCATCCCTGCTCAAGCTCCCACTTTGTTTTCAACTCTAAAACCAGAATAATCTTTCCAAAATGCAAACCTGGTCATATTATTTAGCCTGGATTCCCACATGGCCAACTGTGGAACCCAGAAGCTTGAAAATCATGCCAGACACAGGTGGGCACGTATGCCCAAATTCTCGAAAGAAGAATGGAGGAGAAGGAATTGTGGCATGGCCATCTCTCCTGGAAGGTGATTTTCATGTTTTCTCTCTCTGTTTCTCTCTGTCTCTCTTGGGGAAGCACATGCATCCTATGGCAAAAGTACTAAAATAATAATGATAACAACAGCAACAATAATAAAGAGTATAGAATGGAATAGAATGGAGTAGAAATGAAATAGACTAGAATGGAATAGAAGAGTAGAATAGACTAGAAGCACAGTGCATGCAGTAAGTATTGTAATATAATATATTTAGCTCTGTTTTGCACAACTTTTGTATATTTGTGAATGTGTGTGTTTCAGTGTTTGTTTGTATGTGAAGGCATGTAAAATTGGATAACATAAAATGTATTTTTTACTATTGGTACAAGACTGTTCTAAGCCCTTTTTATATGAAAAAAGATTGAATCCCATTGGAATTACCTCTAGTCCCTTTTCTCTTTCTAAGATATTAAGCATTTAGGATAAAAAAAGAAACAAAACCAGTAACAACAAAACCTTCTAGACATGTTTTTTCATAAAAACATTTTAGTGGTATCATCCTTGGGAACATAGAGGCTAACTTGTGCTCATAGCCACTACCAAGGTTTGGATCAGTCTGTCCTCAGAGAAGGGAGCCATGTGTGCTCCAGAGATGACTCAGCTGCCCCTAGAGAAATTTTTAGAAACAGAGACTAATGTGGACAAGACTTTCCAGTGAACTCTGGGGGAATCAGAAAGTCTATTTACCATGAGTGACACATTTATATCTTAGGTATTCAGAAAATACTTGAATGAATTTACTTTTCTTCTGCTCCCATCCTAATTCACCCCACCCCTCTGGGCAGACACACAAACCTACACAAAGTCAATTTTATCTTTTCTCTTTTCAGCATTTTATTTTTCTTGAAGGTCAATGGTTTTCTTAGAATTTCCAGCAGCAGAACCTTTAGTTTCAGAGGGAATCTGTAACAAGATCTCAACATATAAAACAGATAAAAGCAATAAATGGACTCCCAGAGTATTTAAATCTTGATATTTAGATGGGGAAAAAATAACCTCTGAAGAACTCCTTAAGCCTGTCTTTAGAAACTGGTTTGAAAAAATGAGAACTTGAGAAGCCATAGTAAGCTAGACAATGTCCATCCTAAATGGTTCTGAAGCCAGAGAGAGGTAAGGCGTGGACAGTGTTTTGTTATAAGCTGTATCACACTTGACTGTTACTCTTAGCTGCTTTTATGCTTTTTCTGGCTGTGCACACTTGACAAACCATTCAGCTTTTCTTCTTTCTTTCTTTTAAATTTGCTATATGGTATGTGCACTCAGTGAAGACAGAGAGAGAGAGACAGAGAGAGAGAGAGAGAGAGAGAGAGAGAGAGAAAGCATCCCCCTGGGAAGATGGCCACACCACAATCCTTTCTCCTCTATTCTCCTCTCAGGATTTTGGGCATGCATGCATACACACACACACACACACACACACACAATGTATTTTTCAAGCTGCCAAGGTCTGGGATTCTAACCTGGCAGTCAGCTATGTGAGATCCAGACATTTTAACAACCTTGCCACCTGGCTAGCCCCTATTCAGTTTCTTAGCGGCTCTATTTCCTCATTTATAAATGATCAGGATCAGACTGGAGGATTCTTTATGTCCTGTAAGTCTATAGAATAGATACAGGCATTGTTCTTAACACCAAAGAGCTGATACTTGTATTGAAGCCATGGTTCATGGGTGAAGAATTCAATCATTGCTACAGGCCTTTTCCAATTATTTCATTTTATGATTCACCCAAAGACACTCCATGTCTCTTGTGTAATTTTTAACTATCAAAATTATTGACAAAGTCATTTTGGGGGGAGGGAGGATTTTACTATAGAGTGCATGTGCTCACCAGAAAGAGAGAGACAGAGAAACAGAAAGCAAGAAATCATCCCCAAGGGGGAATAGCCACACCACAATCCCTTCTCCTCCATTCTCCTGGCACGAGTTTAAGCCACTGGGTCCGAGACGCAAACTGTGGTCAACTACATGAAAGTCTAGTGACATAGCCATTATGCCAACTGTTGTTCCCAACAAATTCATTTTAACATATCATTGAGTTCTTATAACAATGATAAGATTCATAGCAATTTTGAAAGTTAAAAGTTGAAAGTTTACTTATTTATCCCACAAAAGAGTGACCAAGACAGAAAGAAAGGTAGGCACCCCAACAGGGTCTTCACATCATGATCCACTCCACCTTCAGCCAGCCTAGACCATGAGTGCATGTGTGTATACTGGGTATGTACAGGGAGACCTTGGGACTTGAACCTGGGACCTTCCATGTGGATTCAACATTTCAGGGCATTGTACTACCACTAAGCCATTGTGATGGCTTCCATGTATGTGTATACACACACACACACATATATATATTTACATTTAATGTCTTACATCTTTATGGCATACGATGTGGTTTTCCAAATGTCTGCAGTATGTGATAGTCAAATAAAGGACCCTACTGTATACATCATTCTCAAGAAAGAGCCTTATATTTTGTGTCTGTTAAATGTTTTGCTGAGCCCCTCCACTATCCTCACTCATACAATCTCTGGTATCTACACTCGTCCTCACTCACCCGTCTTCCACTATCCACTCTC